TGCTTTAATACGTAATATCTCTCATATGTCCCACATATTATACATCGTATGTAAGCTGTTTTCTGTTGAAACTACTATTTAAAATTCATGTGGTTTCCTTTAGACAAATTGCTTATATCATAAGTACCTTATGTAGCAAGCTCTCTCACATCTGAATGAGTTTTTTAAATATGTTATAAATACTCTATTGCAGTCTGATGTGACGTGTACAAACAAGAAAGTACTTCGATTGGTCATGTATGATACTGTAAATTTGTTAATATATTATATTGTTAGCAAGCCGCTTTCCAGTTTAGAATAATTTCTCAGGCTCATGCCGAAACCGTACAAGATTTTCAACGTTTCGACTGAACGGGCTTCGGTCAATTTTCCTAATAATGACCAATGCCAATTTCGTCAAAACGTTGGAATTCTTATAAATAAAACTTTTTCTTGTTTCCCTTGCTGCCAATCACGGAATCAAAAGACGTCTCAAATTCACGCCTTCTAATTATTTTTTCACTTTTGAGGTTTGGTCGGTTAATGAATTTTAACTTTTGCAACTACGATAGTTGTAAATTGACCTCATTTCAAAATAGTCTTTCATAGTCAAGGGTCATCATTTGATCGGTGAAATTTGCAATGGTAAGACTGAGTTGGAAAGCTTCTTTCACCATTGCGTAATACTTGCATTTCCAGTAGCTAAACATGCTTACATTAAATCCAATTTTAGTGCTACTGCACGTACATTACATTATGCGAATTGTACTTTCATAGTTGGTCTTATTGTTTGAGTTTTAATGACCACTGATTTTACTTTTGACGGACCGTCTTCGTGATGCAGTTGCCATATGGTTGTAGTGATTAAGACCAAGCAGCATTAATACTTTGTTGAATAAGGTACTCTGTGAAGTCTTTGACTAAAAATATCCGCCGCTTAAAGTTTATTTTGAAGCAACATTTCAAGTGACAACAGTATCTTCAATCGTCGAGGCAAATACGGAGCACCGTTAGTGTTATAGGTAGAACATAAATGGTTTTGTAACGTCCTCTTGCCTCTTTTGTCCCTGGCAAAATTTGTACAGATGCTGATGCGTGCTTTGTGATATTTTCTGCACTGGTTATGGTAGCTGGTAATAACATATGTTCTTAAACTGTTAAAAATTTTTTACATTTTAAACGCGTTCATTGTAACCCTTACTTGTTTAGCCGCCTTTAACGAACTTGGCAAACTGTTCACCTTGAGCGATTCAGCGCTTTCGTCTCAAGTAGAAGCTAAGGTAAGTTACAAAACGGTTTTCAGTGTCTTGCGTAAATGTTAAAGATTCGAATGACGCTTTTCTCAATTTTTTTGCGATGTATTTTTTTCTATTTTAACCTGTTGTGTACTATTGTAACTTTATGACGTCACTAAGATCTCTGACTTGATGAAACGTGTATGAAACAGATACCTTTCGAAGAAACACACTCTAAGCCCAAGTTTCAGACAGAAGACTGTCGATCAGACTGAAGTTGTTCAGTCGATAGAGCGTCAGACTCAGAACTGAGAAGTCTTGGATTCGAGGCCTGGTCAGGGTAAGTAGCAACAAGTTTTATTACGTGACAGTTCGCAGCGCATTCGCTGTCAGCCACACCTTCCTAATGGATCACAGTTGTAAGGTTTTGTGCATGTAATTAAGACACTGCATTTTACTAGCAAAATCAGACTGGGAGGGGGATTTTTTTCTCAGTGATTACCCATGAAATGGATCACCTTGGAGAATGCCATTGCACCTACCATCTGCCACTCCTGACAAAAGTTTCGTGCCCGACAAGATAGTGTTGAGTACCTATCCTGATCTGTAGTAAATGACAATTTTTCGCCATCGTCGCCATCTTCATCATTTGTTGTCACGTCAATGAGCAAATAATTAATGTTTAAAGTGTTGGGTATTTGAACCTTTTTGTTTTTCTGTGATTTTTAATTTGTTTGACTGCAACGTAATTTATTTTAGCGCATTGTGATAGGTCTTGCGAGGGACATCCGTGGCGTTGCCTTTGCATGTAACACGAAGTCAGCGTTCGTCACCCTGTTCGACTGGATGTAAATATTATTTTTATGCAGTAATATTTTGTTTATTGTTTTTGTCAAATTTCAGCTATCCGAGCTATCTCTCGATGTTGGTAAGGTCCATTGAGGTAATGCGCAGGCAATGTAAGCAATGGCCTATTGACTGTGATATTTGCTGTTGCTTAGATCTGGTACTCTGATCCAAATGTGGCGATTCCTGTACTTCGTTTGATGGCTGAACTTTGTCAAAACAGAAGCCAAAGACTCCAGTTTGATGTTTGTTCACCAAGCGCTTTCCTGTTGTTCAAGGAAGCGAGCAGGCTTATTTGTTCGTATGGTATGACTTCATAGCATACAGTCGCATTTCCTATCTTCAGTAGTTAGTATGATTGTTAATAAAATATAGACTCGTAATTAGTTACATAAATTATAATAATTGGTAAATTAAGTCCATTTTTTGAATCCAGTCTTTTCATTGAAGTCGTTGATTTCTGTAGCTACCTTTAAACGACTTCGACAATAAAGCCGTACAAGTCTTATACGAAGAATAGCTCTGTAAGGAAGGTGAAACTTATTAGATCGAAACCCCTGCATGTCCAGAGTTAATTATCGAGTGCCCAGCGAGGGCGACCATGAACACGAGGAAGTCAGTGCAGTGCGTGTTGTTCATCAAAAATCTATCATGTCTTCCATTACTTTTTTCATTACTGGAGTTCCTGAATGTCTGTATGTACTATGAAGTTTATGTGTTCATTGGCGTACCAACTTAATGAAAGCCCTGAACTCGATTCCAGTGAAGGCACTCACCACTCCCCCATGCTGATGCCACTGCATCAAGTTTGATCCATCCCACAGCGTAGTTACCAACGTCGTGATGACGGAACATCGTTACAAAGATTTTTTTTGAATTATCATGCAGCTGTGCACTCCATAAGCCCACCCTAACCCATTTAAATAGCAGCTTAAAATAATTACCTTATTTCAGTAAATTGTTTGTTATCCTTTATAACCATTACATGAAGCTTTATCTCTAAAAATGGTGTGTTTGGGTGAATAGCTAGTGTCTTGTTAGTAAATTTGCCTTCATACACAAATTACTCTTTTACTCACAACGTTATGCTTGAGTGTCCGAAAATGCCCTGGTGAGTTCACACGACTTTGCTCCTTACAGGTTGACAAATGAGTGCCACTCTCTGGGAAAGAAGCAGGTGAATACTCACATTGCATTGACTCGGAAGTTTTAATGAGGCATTCCTAGCTGGTAACATTGAAATCGAGATCGGCGCTTCGCCGTTATGTTCATGGAAAGAAAGGCGCCAGAAATGGCACCAGCTCAATAGTTTCAGAGTGATTGACGTTCCAGCATTTACAAACTTCTTTTTTTCCTTGTAGTCATCGTTTGAGCCATTTACTCTGAATTAATGTCGCCGGTTTTTGACGTCCATGGTATTTTCAACCTTCGAATACCTTTGGGAAGGTCAATCGCACACCTTTTAAGATATGGATAATTTGCCGAACGTTTCCATTTTCAAGTTTTCAAAAGTCCATGATCGAAAAAGTTCGCGGACTTTTTCCATCATTTTCAGTGCTTTTATGAACTTCAGAAAAATTGGCTATCTTGAGACGTTGCAAGTCATTTTTGGTTTATTTTTTTGTCAAATATCTACACTTGCCTCTGGTGGTGATTAACAGAATTGCCAGATTTCACCAGCCGCAGACTCTTTGCTTTAAGTACTTTATTTATTTTTTAACGCTTCTCTTCTAACATGTTGATAGTTCATCTTTTGCCTCTCAAAGAGGCCTTCTATCTAGAGTAAGGCATTAGCGTTTGTTTCTATCACAATAGCCACTTCATTAATGCGGTGTTTAATAAACCGTTGACAGACTATTGTCTATCTGATTAATAACTGGTCATGACATATTTTGATAGCGTAGTTAGACGCATTTTTACTGTTTGCAATGATATTCACATTGCTACCTATTAGGGTAGGCATTTGAATGACCTTCGAACATCATGGTTGTTCTTTTTTCTCTGCCATCTGAGCCACTAGTCCTTAAACAGCCTAGTAACTTTGATTAATGATGTCTGAGAATTAGAAATGATAACTTAAGATTGATATTAGGCAATGGCTCCTTGCTGTGGCAGGAATGATATTCCTCTTCGCAAGCAGGTGTTTCTACATTTTGTATTATCCTAAAACCCGTCTCGGGCCAGTGCAAGATTCCTAAACACAGCGTCTCGTGCATCATTGACCCCCGATTATTGAGGATGAAAACAGTCGACAGCGTATCCACGACAGGATGCTGATGTCGTCTTGCTTTATTCGATTATCGTTGTGGATACTGACGAGATATGAGTACATTACATGAATTTACAGTCAGAATGATAATTACATGGTCAGATATAGTTTCAACGCGTAAAGAAACCTGTAAGTTTTTGGTGAACATAATTTTCATTGAACGGTGCATTTCTTAATCACGTTTTGCTCCATGTGCATTGCTGTGGCCATTGATCAAAATAGATGTCGCTTTGCTTTGTAGGTTCTGCAGT